CTAAAACAGAACAAACAGTAGTATTGTGTTAAAGTAACAACGAACAGTAGAAATATTTGTGGAAATGAACGAAATTATTTATCAACAATTTATGGTCCCAGAAAAATTGACACATTGAAAGTTTAAGGAAAACGAATCGTAAAATTCCTTTATAGGTGGTATACCTAAAATATTAGCTTCTATCTGTCATCTGCATTCATCTCAATCAATTTAGCCAGGTACTTCTTTCGATTTAACATGGTGATACGCTTGTACCACATCTGAACGCCTTATATGACAAATCTACAACGCCATGATATGCGATACAGATATGTTCTCAAATTTAATCAAACTGTCTGATTTCAACAGATTGGCACGGGAACTTAGTGCAAAATTTTCACTCATATAGTTAAGTAGAACTAATTCGTTCACAATTTGCTATCTATTGACCTTTTGCTTCTTTGACCGTAATAATCCGTTAAGGGCTGTTTTTTTTTTTCCAGAATATTCAATGATATCAGAGAGGGAAAAGCAGAGAGAGAAAGGAGGAAAGAAAGTTTATTCGTACGAGAAATAATTTAGTATTTCACAACACGTTGTATCAGCGTAACTTCAGACAAATTTTTCTGTTTATTATGATAGATTCTCTAATAATAATAATAATAATAACTAATAATTAATAATGACAATTAATAAATAATAATAATGAATAATAATAATACTAATAAAATATAACTGTGATAATAATAGCAATCACAATAACGATGATTCCTAATTAACTGATAACAAACGCTGCAAAATCCACTTAAAATAATGAATTTTTCAAAGAAATAACCATTCGTGAAAAATTATGATGAAGCGAATGTGATAGTGATAACGGAAAGATATAATAAAGCAAAAAGAAGCTTTATTCCCTCAATTTTTCATACAGCTAACGGGAAAATGAATAAAGCGCAAATGTCGCAAACACACACAACGATATAACAATGCTTATATTGCTAAATTTGAACATATTATTATTATTATGAAAAATATTGCACAACGCAAATATACTTAACATTAATAAATTATTAAAAATAATTTTACCGGAGAAAAAAAAAGCTTTTATCAATCAATTAATATCGTATCCTCAAATGTATTTCATTTATTTTTGCAATACGAAATAATTAATTTAATTGTTTCAATGCAAAAAAAACAAAAAACAAAACGCAATAGAAAATGAGCGGAAAGAAATAAAAGCATTTCATTGTTTGTTTGTTTGTTTTTTTTTCTTGAAATGAATCAAATAACCAACGATCCAATAAAAATATTCGTAATTCGTCGAATTTTCCGAAGAAACTTTAACAGAAGAGTAAAGCGAAAATAATTTGAGGGAAATTTTGATGGATAATATAATTTCGATTAGTTAGCGGCGACAATGAAAGGAAACAAATAATGTTGAAATGAGCTGAAAATTTTGTTGCAAATTCTTTCTAACTTTTAAAATTCAATCGAAGTTGAACATAATTTTCAATAGGGATGAAAAAAAGTTTTTACTAATAAAAAAAAAAAGGAGGAATATTTTTTTCGTTGTAAAATTTGAGGTAATAAATCTTTAAAACGAAAGGAAATACTTTTTCCCAACGATTCATTCCTATTTGCTTGCTACATACAGCTAAAATAATGCACAATTCAACTGTAAGCCTTTAGAAATGAACGAAAAAGCTATTTGGCAATAATTTTTGCAGCATATCGAAATTCTTTTCTTTTTTTTTTCCTCTCCACCTGTGAAACATAAATTTTAATCCCGAAAAAATGTCTGCTTACACTGATTCGATTTGCAATTAACAGCATCATCATCCATACGACCGTTTTCTACTTACTGTATGTGACGAATTTTTTCGTGCTATCATCTATCGTTATTCTGTAGTTTGCAAAATTGCTTAAGAGAATTTCATTTCCCATATATGTTTCGTAATATGGGGAGCATATGGTAAAGAAAGGGAAATGAAGGAAAAGAAAGGAAAGGAAAGGATGCTTGGATAGTTTATGTTTTTCAAAAACATTGATCAATTTAGCATGTTGTATGATTTTTCGTTCATTTCTACAGTTTCAGGATATCGCGGAATGCAATAAGTAAATGTGAAATGTGGGACAGAATGATCGGGTATTCCTGAATCATTCGTTTTCATCTCACTATTTCTTACTCCTTTATTTTATTACAATGTAATTGTTCAATTTTATTAGCTAAAATTCATTCAGTTTTATTATAATTATTTAATTACTATTTCATGAATTCATTAATGGAAACCTATCAATGGATTATTCGATCCGATCATATTTCTTTCTGCTATTATCTACATCCACCTCCTACAGTACATGTCTTTTTTTTTAATTAACGGATATGGCTCTAAAGTGTATGATTAGGACAAACAAACACATACAAGGACAAACACACAGAAACATATATATATATATATATCAGAAAGGCCTATTTCAAGGAAGATTTTCTTAAGAATTTTATTGCCTGTGTGTGTGTTTGTGTATGGAAGTACAAAGGAAAAGGGCGATCAATAGGACAAGCCTATAGAGGGAGATGAGGGTAGAAAGGCACGCGACACTGAAATTGCCTCATTATATGATTCAGGCAGTGCTGCATTTCATATTATGCAACAGATTCCATCGTTTTGCATTTCCATTCTTTTCTTGTTTCCTAAACGAATTTGATTTGCAACTTTCTTATTGATTAAATAAAAAAGGGAAATCCAAATTATCCTTTAGAATTGAAAGAAAAAAAGATGAAAGTTATAGGAATGGATAGATGAACTTATGTGTTATTAAAAGAAAAGGTTGATCGAAAGGGAGAAAATATTAGCAATCTCCGATCATATCATTCATATCACATCATATCACTTGATCTTCTGATATGATTCAGCTGCTTATTACATAATTAAGGTAAGATCAAGTGATATGATGATAACTGATTAAATTTTTTTGATCTATACTTCTGTCTTACAAATTAATTCCGACTAATTGGATGATTAAGATCCAACTCATTTGGTTTAATATTAGCTTTTTTCTTTGCTTTAAATTTAACTTTTTTTTAAATGTAAATTTCAAAATTGAAACAGCTGCATTTATTCTACACATGTCAAGCAGTCAAACGACATTAATATTTATTTTCACATTTCCATCTGATTATCATTCGTTTTTTTGTTTTTCATAATACAACTGACTGAAGACGAAAAGGACAAATGAGAGTTATAGCAAATTTTAGAAACTGAAATGTAAAAATAATCCAGAATTGAAATCGTAATGCAAAAGATTAAAATAAAAATTCATTTTACATTTGCGCTTGAAATGAGTAACACAATCGCTATCAACATTTAATAAAGGAAATTTGAAAAAAGCGCAAATGAATAATATACGATAAAAGCGCTTCCCCTACATTATCATCTCTAGTTACACTGAGTAAAAAAGTTGTAGAGCATAAAAATTAATGAAACAGTTTGACAAAGATCTATGATATAGAAGAAACAAAAGGCGCATAATGACAAGAAGCGGCATGATATGAAGGAAATGGAAAAATGAGGGAAGAAGAAAGAAAGGTATTGAGAGGCTAAAATTGGTTTGATTCTTCATGAAAACGAGAGCCATAAATCAGAGGGAACGATTTTGCTGGAACAGTCAGCCGAAAAGATCCGACAAATTTTGTTTCGGTGTTCTACAAAAATGAAGTGACAAATATTTAAGAATGTTTCATGGACGAATAGGAGGTAATTTAAAAGCGATGGGGCGGAATGACAGAAAAACAGGATAGAATCAAGTTTGGAGTAAAATGGTCCTTTGAGGGAAGATTGTAAATGGGACTGAGAGCTAACGAAAAATGACTTGAAAGACGGGGGAAAAGTAGGGAAGGGAAAGACATACACCACCAGCACTAATATTAACAACGGCATGGGTAATTTTTCAATATTTTCTCCTCTTGTGAATCTCATTCATACCTATCCTTTTCTTCCTCCTATCCTTTGCCGATATTTTGCTGAAAAATCTTTAGCCCCATTAATGTTATAATAGTTTATGAGAATGGGACACATCGTTCTATCTTTTCCGTAGAATCTGTTTCGTCCTTGCTTTAATTGTCGTTATCATCATTCGACATATGCAGCAGTGTAGTTTTTCGTTTATGAAACTTAATTTCAATTAGCTACCATATCTTTTTGTCATTCTGAAATAGCCCAATTTTCCGATCAAGATTGTTTATTCCATTTCCTCCTTTTCATTTCAAGAATCCTCGCTCTGAAGTATACAATCTTTGGTTGTAGATCTCATCGAGAAATTCTGTTGACCGTAACGAAAGAAAATGAACTTCCAGAGATTAATCCTGAATTTAAATTTGCAGGTACAATTTTATTATTTGAGGATTTCCGTGACTTTGTCATGTGGAGCAATGGGTAGAATTTGTTTGATACATGTACGAATGGATTACACATTCATAGCGTTGCCCAATCAAATGTTATCGAATAATAAAACATTTTATCTCCTCGGTATGATCAATTTTTTCTTTTCAGGACTAAAATGAAAGATAATTCTACCGTACTCTCACATATGATCTATGTGAGGATAAGTAAAAGACATCTTCCACGTAGCTATATCAATTCATAAAACAGCCTTCTGCTTCGCCTCATCTTCACCGGTTAAGATAAATAAGGAATGTCTTTTGAAGTTCGTGAAAAACACAATTTAACTTGCATGTGATATGTTATCTTCAATAAACAGCAGAAGCAATCACACGAAAAACGCTTATTTGATTAATAAAAACATAAATTAGACTAAATGACACTAAATGTAATGCTTCCATATTCACTGAAAACATTAATAAATATAGGCATAGTGCGATATGTCGGACATGGCGGGTTTTTTCATATGCAACTTTTAGATGGATTGCGACATTCATATAACTCTAGAAAAAGAGAAGAGATTTGTCCTTTATAAACAAAAAAATAAAACATTGATAACAAATAAAACACTAATACAATGTATTACGAACGGAATGTAAATGCATTCATGTTTTTCTGATAATATAGTGGGAGCTGATGATCGCGACCCCTGAAATACAAACGAATCTTAGTTCATGGATGTAAAAAAATATTTTAAAGTTGTACAGTTTTTCATACGATCAAACAGCTTCAAACATGTTTAAGCATTACTGCATCAGTTTTACCAAATATATATAACGTAAAAAACACAATTTAAAAGTGGAAAATATCATATGAGAAAAACACACCTATATGGACGGGAGAAAAGATGTTCACGATTGAATTGCCCAGAACTATTTGCAGCACTACCGCATTCAAGAAGAATATCGAAGCGCGAAATTAAGAACGCTATCTGCGCCTCCAGAATACTATTCGGATCATCACACGTTACATAAGTTGTAAAATCAGCATTCAAAATCCGCTCCACGTGCTAAATTAAAAATTTCTTATCAATTTTCACTTCGTTTAAGAAGAAATCCAAATGAATGAGAGCAATATCTTATGAAAATTTCAATTAAAGAATTTGTTACCGAAATAAACAAAAAGAAATTTGTTTTCCACAAATGTTCATTAAAAAAATATCCATTCAGAAGCTGGAGAAGATTAAAAAAGTTTTTAAAACAGACAAAATAGCAAAGCAACTATCACAGGACCTGTTCTCCAGAAAGTCCAAGTATCGGAAATAAACGAATTTTTCAGAAATCATGAAAAGAATATTTAGAAATACTTACAATAAGACTGCTATTGAATGATGAAGAAGTGTCCGCGTTATCCAGCGTAAAACTCAGGATAAAAATTGGTTTTACCTTCGGATATTTCACATCAACCTGAAGTTTACTTCATCAATGACTATCAGAAACCGAAAAAATTACAATACGCATATTCAGACCATATTTAATATAAGGATTCGAGTATTTTATATGCCCAAATATCTGAACGCTCAAAAAAACTAAATCTTTCTAACAAAGCTAATTTAAAAGCAAAATTCTAGTGTATTAGTATTAATCCAAATATTATTTCAACTCCACCGAATATTTAAAAAATGTTTATTAATCCATACAAATATTAAAGCATGAAGTTTGGCTCCTGGATCTCTTTCAACTGTTGCAGAAAAGTAAAATTGTTTATTAATATTTGTTCCTCGTTCAAATTCTATCAGTTTTTGATATTCTTCCGTTACAGCTTCATATTCCTAAAACAAACATCACAATAATAAAAACATAAAATCATAGAATTTTAAGCACAAAATCCATCAAGTTTAGAAATTGCGCAAAATGAACTAACGAAGAATTGCTCAGCTGTAATCATTCGAAAACCGGTCAATTTTGCACAGACATTATCGGGGAAATCATTCCGGCTTTTTAAAACATCGAATACTTTCAAAGTATCTGCAATAGTATTTATTGGTTTGTCACATAACGCCACTTAAATTATGAATTGGGAAAAAATAACGGTAGTCCCAGACATTTAAAGCATGAAAAAGTTCAAATTATCAATATCTTTCACGATGATTTCCTTGTAAACTTCTGTCATAACACAGGCCGATTAAATGATGATAGCTGAGTTCCAAATCTCATTCCCCGATGCAACAAGTTGTATTCGTGATATGACTTTCAGAAGCTCTGGATGTAGATCTCAAGAAAAATATACTGTTAATTCAAAAATTTTATTTTCAATATTGCTAGAAAAAAAAAACATACGAAGAGAATGAGTGATTCGAGCCAGAACGCATCTTGAATGTATACGTGACCTGATCTTTCCAACCACAGAATGTAAAATTTCATATAACTGAGGATTTTTTGACGGGACTTGATCATTTATACCAGCCATTTTCTGAGCAAATGCATAGAATCGACCAATTTTAGGTTCCAAATCAGCCACAGAAATCCTTTAAAAAAATAACTGTAGAAATAAAAAGCAGAAATTTTGATTAAACAACAAGTGAGTTTTCAACTAATTCTGATCAATTAATTAATTCAACCTGTAATTAGTCTATTAAGACTTTTAAATTCTAGGTTTTCACAACAAAATTAGCCCAAAAAATTCGTATGTCTACATGTAAGGTTGTAACGACCATAAGCGTGAGACTAGTTGCAATATCTAACAGATTATATATAAAAACATAATAATGTCCGCTTAAAACCATACTCTAACTGATCCAATTTGGCTTGCCCCGCACTACTGGCACACTTATTTCCATCGTCGCCATCAAATAATTCGGAGAGAAGGGATTCATCAAAGAATGCACTTCTATAAAAAGTCAACAAAGAATGAATTTAATAACCAATCATTTTCGGAATTTTTCTCTTCTTACGAATTTTAAATTTACAGAAATCTCAAAATTTTAAATTAAATAATTTCCAAAATACAGAAAAAATACCCATAAGCTGATGTGGGTGTTCGACTCAGCCTTACCATTACTCCAACCGAACGCAAACCCGGAATGAACTGCAGCACAAGGGTTACACAGATATCGTCTGAAAAGCAATTAGATTTATTCTACGTATATTATTTTGTACATTTAACTATTCAAGACATGCCACTGTACTGCAGAACTAAACAAGAACTCAATCTTATCTAAGTCTGAAAATTTCAAGCTATAAGATTCGGCTAAATGAAAGACTTGCACGCAGCAATAATATTGCAAGCTTCAAAAAACTGAGGTAATTGCAAAATAAATTATTTAACTGACCCTGGCAAGCGATTTCCATTTCAATATGAATAGGATGAGGAGCAACAATGGCATCCTTTCTTTCAGCAATCAATTCTTTCATGGTCACATGCTTTCTTTTATCATGACGTGCCGATGGTGACTGCTTTCCGTTCACCTACAATTTTAACAAATGAGAAATAGAATGTTTTTCTCTATAGCATAAAAGCAATAAAACTTTTCGTTAAAATGCAACACTGAAAATAAAATGACTGATTATTTGGAGATAATTCTGTGTTGGATGAATTTTAGCCGTAAAAGATCTCACAACACTAAGACTTCAACAACTGAGTCAGTGCTTTTCTGAGTTAACAAAGGAAACAAAAATAATGAATGTGTTTCAGTTATTTTTGAGGAATGCTTATGATACTGCTTATGACACAGTAGTCTAGTTACTTAGTTTAAACAAAAGTGAAACTAAAGCGACCAAATGCTTGACGATATCTTTCCAAGAATGAGCTACTTTACAATATCCCCATATTAAAGCGGATTATTAAACTAGAAAGAATGAAACCGTTCTTCACTCCAGAAAATATAGTGGTGTTTGCTTCATATTCTAAAAAAAGTCAAAGTAATTTACATCATCCTGACTATCCTCATCATCGGCGTCTTCAATTATTTCGCAAGCTCGCTGTCGATTTTCCAGAAATTTCACAGTACTTTCGTAATCACCTTTGCATTTTAGTATTATTCCTGCTTCTAGAAAAAGATCCATATTTAAATACTGTTCATAATTGGTAAACTTCTTTGTGGCATATTATTTAACAATTTTTCCAAAGACAAGTAGATTAGAGATACTAAGGATTCGTAGTTCCACTATCAAAAATAATTGTATTTTCTTAAAGTTCAAAAATGCATGTGCCAAGTGTAAAACGGATTTTTGCGAATAATAACTGAACTAACCTTTAACAATATCACAGTAAGCCTCAACCTGTATGGCGATTACAGAAAGCTCCTGAGGCAATAGAGACAATACGCGTTCCTTCTCAATATCAATAGGATTACACGTCAGTCCCATCAGTTCTTGCACCGGTCTCGCTGCCTAAATCATGCCGAGATAAAGTATATTTCAGAGTCAATAAGACAACATTTCTCATAGATTAAAAATATTGTGAAAAAAAAAGAGAACATTTCTTTTTTTCACAGATTAAGAATTTGTGAAAAGCACCAGATGAAAAAAATACTGCATAAAGCAAAAATGATGAAGAGCTAACATGGCATAATCAATCTATTAAAATATAAAATGTGAGAGAAACCTCAATCACGGCTTCTATACGTGGTTTCAACGACTTTAGTCGATGTTCCTTTGTTGTAATATCAGTAATAAGTACATTTTTTCGTCCTTCTCGTTCTTGCAAAGTTCCAACCAAACTGCAAAAGTAAAAAAATTTCATAAGATAAATGTCATTGGTTTTTAATTTTAGAAAAGCTTTGATATGAATGAATAAAATCACTATGTCTTTTACAACACTCAATAAATTAAGACGATGTTTTTTAGAGTGCTCTAACGAATCAAAAAAGCACAGTTTTCGATTTTTCCATTAAACCCAAAAGACTATAAGTTGCAATTTCATGCTCTATTTTTACTCTTTGTTATTTATTCCTCATTCCTCAAAAATAACCAGAAATAATAGTATTTAAGAACTTTTATGATCAAGTAATACTTCTTACGCTCCTCCATCTCCCAGTTTAATCGGGCCAGATGTTGCCGGTGTTGATCCTTACGAGTGATTTCCTCTTTCGAGATATTTGCTGGTGCATTTGCATAGAATTCTTCTAGTGAAACCATTTCAATATCTTCATCAGCTGATCTGAAATTTCAAGAGGAAAAGTAAAAACCCACAGAATAACGACCGTGATTCCTAAGCCCAAAAAAGTGAAGATTTTTTTGAATATACCTTCGCTACTTTTTAGAATTTATTGAACCTGATATTTTTTTAATACAACAGGTGCTTACCTGAAGTCGTAACAGCGATCAATCTCCTTCTGCAAGTGCTCAATTTCACTCCTAACGTTTTGTAGCTGAAGAAATCGTTCTTCGACAACAGCACGCTCTCGATTTACTCGGTCACGAATTTGTCGATTTCGGTATTGCGCCAAACGATTTAATCGTCGCAGTGTTATGAATAGTGAAAGCAGCGATTCTTCGAAACTTGATGCTTCTGGCAGCTGGAATGTCACTAGTATATTTAGCAAAAAAATCTGGACTTCAAAGAAAAATTCAAGCACGAAATTAAAAACAAATTAAACATGAATTAAATTTGGAATTAAATATGAACTACTTTAACTGAACCACAACTGGAGTCGATAAGCTTTTGTCTAAACATTTGCGAATGCTCCACAAAAGACTCTTCAATTGATGCCATAGTCATTGACAGCGCCTCCTGATCCTCCCGTTCATAAAATTCCTTAAAAATTAATAATCCCATCAGGATTAATTTCAATGTGCTATCATGAGTATTACTAAAGAAACAACATCAATATCCTGAACTTTTCACCTCATTTTCACTCGTCACTTTTACCATAATTCATCGAAGGATGCACCCGAAGAGTCCTTAATTTCTCAAAAAAAACTGACATTTCGAAAAAATCTAAATTCTCGAAAACTAAAGTAATCAAAGAGATTGGAGCCAAACAAAGCATATTACCGAAACAGTTTTTGTGATATGCTCTCCAGCTTGCTTCTTCTTCTCTGGAGACTGCATGCCACCAGCAGATCGAGTACGTTTTCCTGACATCCTGAAAACCCAACATGCTAGACTCCTCACCAACACTAAAACCCAAAATTCAACAACAGTCACGCGGGTACCTAATCATCGCAATCTAATGATCGAACAGCTAGCACTAATTTACTTTTACAAACTGCAGCAGAAAGTCAAGTACCCACAGTGCTGAGAAATGAAATGATAATTTTCTATCAGCTACCCATTTAAAAGCTGCATGATTCTGATACTCTTGAATCACAGTTAAATACGGATTTTCTTTATTCATGAAATCTCCAATGTAAATCAGTCAGAAAACTTCCTTTCTATACTTTGAATGCATACCACAGAAAATCTAGAAACTATCCATTCGATTCAATACAAGTATTAGATATGAAATAACGATCAGAAAGAGAATTCAATAACACTGTAAAATTTTCTTTACTGTTAAAAATGAAACATTCTTAAAATGAAAAAAGCGGCAGATGGGAGAAAATAAATAAAATAAAATAAAAATAAATCATCAAGTGGAAGAAAGGTGGGTAAAATAAAGTAGACCGTGATTGAAGACAAAAAAAATGAACAATTTCGAAAATTGGCTTATTACTTTATTCTTTCCATAGTTCATGAGAACGAATATACAGGAATGTAAACAGATAAATAAAGTAAATATGTGCAATTTGGTACATCATTTAAAACAAAATTATGCAAACCTGAAGATTAAAATTCAGATAAGTAAATACTATTTAGTGCAACAAAAAAATGCAGCAGGAAGAGCTTTATATATCATCTACGATATGTTTTCATAAAACTAGAAATGATTCTGAAAAATTACTGCGATACCAAAATTATGATTTAATCACCAGAAATCTGTCGCCTATTTGAGCTCCCAATATTACATTTAACCAGACAAAAAAAAAGACAAGGCACTCATACAAAAATATACGGGTTAAGTAAGGCAAAAGGAAAAATAAGACACGAAGAAATAATCGTTTCTAACGTTACATGACAAAATCATTACAAAATTCTAATAAGTTATAGAATTCTAAAAAGGAAATTTTTTCTGTTAAAGAAGTGATAACCATCTCTAAAGCTTTGCAGCTGCAAAACATTGAGATTATTTCTCTGAATTAAAACATGAAAATTCTTGCAAAGCCAAGGTATAATAATTTACCAATCCATCATTAGTTTATTTTGGTGATTTTTAGAAATTGAAAATGAAAGAAAACAAGAAATAACATGACAGCTGGATGAAACTGAATCAAATTACATGAATGAGACTGCTAAAAACTCGGACTAAGTAATGGGAATTACTAATGATTCTAAATCACATCTCGCTAAAAAACTGGATTATTCATGTCACAATAACTAAAATAAAATTAAGTCATAAAACAGTTCAGTGAATTTCAGCTTACACAGATACAATATAAGGCACCTATGATTACCAGAACTGATAACGTTCCCGCATGGAGGAAATATAACAAATTGAAAAAATTGAAAGTGGCTGAAACAGATGAACAGTGATATTCCGAAGCAACCATAATGGATTATGCAATTTTTGATGTCTGCTCATTACTGTAATATGAAATTATAGCCCATCAAACACCTGCACGCGAGTCTTCGTTGCTCCAGCACCGCTCTGCAAAATTCAAAGCTACTACATATTATAATTAGGAAGTATGGTTAATAAAAGCTCTAAGTGTTGAACTTATTGCCAAAATCACACTGTTTCACAAAGGAAAACCAAAATTTGAACAAAACAGAATTCATAATGTAATGGTAACATGCAAATTTGTTAAATGAATTATGTTCATAACTGTTCATTACTGCATTCAAAAAATACTCAAAAGTTACGAAAAGACAAGATCACTAATTTATTGGACATATTTCATTTCACTTATAGTAACGAATGAAATACTTCATGGAGGTATCACCTCCAACATAACGGAGTTAGCAATTTTAAATAAGAGCATACCTTCAACTAACTTATGTATAAACATTTTAGATGACAAAAAAGACGCTAAATTTTGGTAATTTTTGATTTTAATCACAGCAAAAAAAAAGCTTGAATTGTTGAAATTACCTTACAAACATGATATGCATGTGTTTCAGCAGTTGACTGCAATATAAAACTTAAAAATTGTAATTTCCACTAAATATTATGGCATTATTAAACTAACAGTTTAAACCAGCAGATGAGATGATGATACAAAGAGTAAAAAAAGATTACATCTAACGGGTAATCAGCGCCATCGATAAAACAATACTTACCAAAACTTTTGTATCTTTTTGTATTTGAATAATCCAGAATTCATCACTTTAAAAAGTTTTTTTAAAGAAAAAAGTTACCTTTCTCAGTGTGGAATACTTATCAATACCCATTTGTACATTGGTTGCATGAATTCGATCATGTTCTGACTGGCGATCCACAACCTTTAGACTCTCAATTTCATTCCGAAATTCCGTCATAATTTCTTGGAGGTTTTTTTTCTTTTCATTATAGTCAGCTCTGTAAATAATTAGAAACCTATTAGTATAACAAAATAATAAAAATAAGAAGTACTCTGCTCTTTCCTTTCAAATTAATTTCTGTCGAAAGATAATTTCCCAGGATTTTCATAAAAAAGCATTTCGAAGCACCTGGATTTTTCAATTTCTGTCCGTAAAGACAAGAGATCATTTGGCATCATTTGATTACTGGATGGATCAGGTGGCGGACAATTCAGTAATGCTTGTTTCTTTATAAACAATGATGGCTGTGTTTTAATAATCGGTGTGACAGTAGCGGTAAAGTTTGGATCGTCATCCAAATAATGCACGTAATCACCATCGCCACTGCTTGACGATGACACCAAACGATGATGACTGATGTAACGCTGGGGGACAGGTAAAGCGTATGCTGATAACCAATCCTGAAAATGTTATATGACAATTAAGTTTTGAACGCTTTATTTGAATACAAATCTTTGTCACAGTAAGAACATATAAATTTAGTATGACAGCATTAATCTGTGTTGGAAGATAATTTTACAGGATTTTCATAAATAATACTTCGAGACACCTGGATTTTTCAATTTCTGTCTTTAAAAACAAAAGATCATTTGGTACTATTTGATTACTTGATGGATCGGGTAGTGGACAATTACTTGATGGATCGAGTGGTGGACAATTACTTGATGGATCGGGTGGTGGACAGTTACTTGATGGATCGGATGATGGACAATTATTTGATGGATCGACAATGCTTCTTTCTTTACAAACAATGATGCCTGTGTTTTAATTATCGGTGCGACTATGAACTCCAAATAACCCGGAAGTGCTAGTTGAAGAGAACAAATCAAACCAAAGGGAAGGAGTAGATTACTAAACTTGATTAATACTTCATGAACGGTATTTGAAAAACCAATGTTTGGGCTTTGTCTATTTTGTAGCTCCAGAAACGTGTAGTCGATGTGACCATTTTTTAAATTATTCTATTAACATTCAAACCTGTGGCCAACTCGATTCAGAGTCATATAAATGTGCACGGCACAAATACGGATCGTAACCATGACGTTCTGTTTCATACATTAAACGATGAGCCCAAAGTTCGGCATCACGTGCTTTCCGCTCCAGAGACATTTTCGTTTCCTCTGCCTAAAAAAATATTTTTTTGTATAAAATAGCTCCAACAAAATACTACTTTTTCACATACCAACTAAACACATTGAGTTTGTAATACAAATTAGGCTCTTGTAATTCTGCTAAATGTTTAGGCGCCATTCACTTAATGGAATGAATCGCATTTATTATATGCACGTACCAATAAATAATTGCAGATCAAAATGTGTGTGTGTGTGTGTGTGTGTGAAGATCTTTCAATTTAAAAATATAAGATCTTTTTAACCCGATTTTTTAATTTATTCACCTGCAGCGCTTAATAGCGAAATCTTCATTTATTTAATGACAGGTAAGATGAACTTGTGGTTTGAAGCTTACTGAATAAATACACCCATTACTCACAGAATAAACATAATTTAAACTTTAAAAAACATGAATTTGAAATTCTACCTTGATTTGTGAAAGTTTCATACGCTGGCATTCTGCTTCAGCCTCGCTGGCTCTTTTTGATAGTACGAGAGCTTCCTCTTCCGATACTCGCGCTTTTTCTGCCATCAAATGCGCATTTTCTTCGGTTTTCTTCATAGCTTCCTAAACAACAGTTTTTTTAGCGTAGAATATCGCGTTCACCTATTGATAACAAAAAACAAAAGGTACAAACTCAACATTATTACTCAGCTTTTTTAAAATTCATCCTGGAAACCACAGCAGAACATCCCGGTGTTTCAATATACTCATCTTTTAATGGTAGCATAAATACATTCTGAGAAATTCAATAAGGGTATAAGAATTTTTTTTGTAAAAGTGAGACATGCAAACACCAGTAAAAAATATAACTCATTAACAAAAACATCAATTAATATATATATTTTCTCAGTACCTTCATGTTACGTAGTTGCTCATTAATTGCAGCTATTTCATTTTTATATCGGTCTCGTTCCGCTTCTGCCTGCATACGTTGCTCCCGCTCACGAGATAAACGATTTTGTTCTTGCTGAAAAAACAAATCTATATACTAATGAATATGAGAACATGTAGAGAAAATCGAAATTATCTGAGATACTGCAAAAACCTTAAAATGATCCTATTATCAATATTCCTTGAAAAATAGAAAAACCTTTCTTCAGTAATATTTTTTATTAAAAACAAACAATTCGTCTAATTCTCTGCTCTTTCGCCTGAGCTTTCATTTGCTGTACTTCGAGCAAATCTGGTTGACGTCTTCGGAGGTATAAATTATGGGTACCAACGCACAAATCTAATATGCTCATATTGATAGAGATATCTTTTGCACGAAATGTGATCGTGCTCTTGTCCATTGTCCTCATGTTAAACTGAAACAATGAAATTTTATATCCACCGGAAATTCTGTTTAGAGATCTTTTTTTAGTTCGTCTATTTCGCCCAAATCTTTTTGATCATACATACAATAAAAATATCAATGTTATCCAAACATTCTGCGTATCATACGTTGCAAATGGTACAATAAAATATCACATTCCCGAAGAACATATTAACATAAAGATCCTACAAAACTGTGAATCTTCTGAAGGACCATAAACCTACGACTTTATTCTTGAATGAAATGTTCTTGATTTCGCTCCAAGAAAAGAATGGCCGTGGTGTAATTCTATTAGATTCTTTATAAATTCCAATTCCTTGTGCTGATACACCAAGCGTTAAATCTGTTTCTTTACTGTTCTACAACACCACTGATTACTTTGAATCATCATTGCAAATCATATAAATGATTAACTTCAATATCTTTTAAAAAATCAAAAGTAATCATCTAGCTGAAAGATATAACGTTGCCCAGAGATAAGCCGCAAGTTACTGAAAATCAGTAGGCACGCAGAAATAAATAATAAAATATTTCCTACGAAAGTTAATTTAAAGTAATCGTGTACCATATAAGATAAAGTAATGAAGTATTAAAAACTAACACATATAGGGTAGTACTGAATTCCATACATCTCTAAATCCTGTGCAACTCGTAGATACTCCATTTCTGCATCTTCCCTATAACGTTATTTTATTCTTCCAAAAATTATATCAATAGGACAACCCAAGCAATATAGTTCTACAAATAAAATATGATCTAAAGCAAATCTTTTTGATTGAATTTCCAGAGATAAAAAAACCGTGGCTGCATGAAATCACCTGCTTTGTCCACTATTATTTATCCACCACCGTTTGATGCGTTCTTCCCACATCTGTGGTGTCATATCATACTGTTTGATTACGCATTCTGGCAATAATTCACTTAACTGCAACTTCGAACTCTCCACACAGTCACCATGCTAAATAACTTAGACTTCTTTAATTCACAGTTTTGTAAATTTCGTCCGAAACTAAAAAGAAAGTGTGCTAGCGCGTTACCCATTCCACAAGCAACTGCACATCTATAAAAAATTTTTGAAAGCAACAATTTCTTGCAGATAATATAAACTCACAATCGCCTGTACAGCATAAGATGCAAGAAGAACAGATGCTTCGGCCGAGCAATATAGCTGCATACTTAAAATACTTTGTTTGATTTGAAGGAAGAAAAGATGGCGCGTTATATCCTGTATTAGTTCCTCTTCAACATCTTCTGGGTAAAACTTCACAAGAAATATGAGATGCATCGAACTATCCTCCTGCTTTGGTACTTCCTGCTTAATTATCTAAAATTTAAACAATTAATAATAATGCCATCCGATAAGTAATACATGAGTAATGACAGCTGATAAGTAATAACAGCTGATAAGCAGTGAAGCAATTCGATGGCTGATATTATTGCAACAAAAAAATGTCTGTATCCATAATAAATTTATACTAATAGTGAAGCTATATTAATATTATATTTAATAATTAGTTTAGGAATATAATGACCCAAAGTACAACATTCTCAAATGCGTTCGAAAAAAAAATTTAATTTTAAGGTATATAACATACTGAGTACCCAATTATTCATTGAAATGCTTATATCACATCTAATTCCAAGTATGCAAAATTTTCATACATTTAAAGTCGAAAACATTGCAAATAGCAAGATTCAGTAGCAGATGAAGCATTTTCCGTCGATCTTATGATAGTAAACAAACCTTTTTATCCATTTGTAACCAACATGGAATCCCCTTTTTGTTCACAAACTGCAAACCAAAAAACCAAATCTCTCTTAGACCGATAATCCTGCAAACTGTATCAAACAGCTGTCGTCCTGTACAGTCTGGCTGCAAATTTTTGCAAAAAAATTAAAAGTGATATGAAAATTTTGATATATATAGATTTTTAATTTATAAATGGAAGTCGAAATTGCATAAATCAATAAGAATAGTAGCACACAAATGTATATACCCAGTTAGTTCAAAATGCTAGCGTTTTTTGTTCAATATGTTTACATTGGTGAGTAGTTTTTTTTCTTGTAGGAAGATTTGAACATCTACTATGCTAGAAACATTCAAATTAAAAAATTGAGAGAAGGATAAGATCAAAGAAAAAAATAGAGTTAGATTGATAGACGGATCCACTAAATTGATTAATATATTGATTCGTATGCACAAGCTTTTTTCTTAAATCATGCAATTTATTTATTTCATACGTTCTTATTGTTATATATATATTATAAAATTTCTCTTGGAAATTGAAAAAGGAATCAAAAAAGTTTTCAAAACGCTCTTATTTTTTGGACAAACTTATTAACAGCTGGTGAGTCGGATACTTATAAACTGAAATAAACAAGGTAACTCATATGGTGGCTCATAATCTAAAAATCTAGTAATCTATTCCTCGTCCAATACTCTTCTACTAATTTGCAAGCCAACAGAATCGGTATAACACCTAACAACTTTATAACACAGCAAATAATAATTCGGCATCATAATCTGATAGCACATAAATCCAGTAATTTGATGATCCCATGATAATAATCCAATAATTGTTACGGGATCACTAAATTTTGGACCGATATATTATCAGATAATCTAATGATTATTATTATTACGGATCACTAAATTACTGGATTAATATATTATCAGATTATGAATTAAAAATCAATCAAATAATTTATACAACACGCATACATTATGAAAATTAAATAAACAAACAAACCTCCATAGTTATTTTCTCCAGGTCGGCATCCATAGTGCTTACTTTGACATACAAATACTTTCCACCACCTCCAGATGAAAAGAATCCCATTTTCGAATTATCTGTAGCAACGTTCAACTTCTGCTCATCAATTAATTATTTTTGTTCTTTTCAAAGCAAACTTCCTCGATTCCATTGCTATGCCACTATCTTTTACATTCCACAACAATAACTTCACCTGAAAACAAGGAAAGAATTTAACTACGGAATGAACTTCTGTTGCCAGCAGAATGATTATTACTGATTAATGACTTTACTGATATTCTTTTTTATTCCTATTCAGAATTCTTCTTTAGTCCTATTCAGTAGTGATGACGATCTACTTGAGTTTAACATACTAAAAACAAAAAAGAAAGAAAAATGGGAGAGAAGACGGAAAAAAGGAGAAGATAACAAATAAAACCAGAATTGTTTTTAAACAATGCACGAATATTAAGTGATCGAATGTCAGATACTACCACCCTATAAAGTTAATTAAACGAAACGTCACTCAAGGAATCCAACCACAGCTCAGGCGCTTCAGATAACACCTGAGATAGGGATGTACAAGTGAATATAACGAAAATTACAGCGCTGCAGCACAGTGCAATAACTTCATCCATCAAATCAGAATGACGTACGAGTCATACGAATCGCAGGTCGTATTGATTCTACGTTTTTTCTGTTGTTTCGGGGGTCTATATTATGAAGTCTCACGTTATTCTATCAATTTCACAGGTGACTACAAACTCTTTCTTTATCATATTACTATTAGCATTATATACCGTTCGATAATAGTTACAAGTTATAGTAATATCGACATGTGTCATTTGCGCAGGAAAACCAATAAACTACTCCATTTAATTAATTATTGATTACTTTAATGTAACGACAAAGAAAAAATGGGCAGCTGACCATACTATGACATCATGCAGTTGCTGTAGATCGAACTCTCTTGTCCTTTACTTTCTCATGTAAAAGAGTAGTCTGTCTTTCACTTTTATTCATTCCAAAAATATAAATTAGCTCAACAAAATCATAAGTTATATAAAGTTAAAATAAATTAAAACAAATATTAAGTGGAAAATGTGTTAATGTAGTACACACTTCCACGTAAATTTTCGAAAGATTTCAAGAAAACGAGTCTCGAATTTATTTGAATAGAAAACATTGATAACGTTACAGCGGAAAAAAATATAAATACTTTCGAATAAAGCTATGATCCTGTCCGCTCATATCACTAACCTGAATGGATTTCTCCCATCTGCTAAGATTCGTTTCCTAAATAAATACTTTCGAATAAAGCTATGATCCTGTTCGCTCATATAACTAACCTAAATGACTTTCTCCCATCTGCTAAAATTCGTTTCCTAGCTTGATTAACTTTCCTGGATTTTAACAAAATTGAAACAAACTAAATTCTTATCCTCATTTCTATCTAAATGACATCATTCAAAAAACCATTCTCTTATTTTGTTAACTGGCGCAAATTTAAAAGGAATCTTCTTCCCCGCTAAAACCAATGTGGAAAACTTTTCTATTGAATAATGTATTGCTATGAACCTCTATTAATATTTCTCTACATCTTTTAGGGCTGTTCGGATTGATCATTCCTTGGACTGTAATGAAATGTACATCCGAAAACCATAAATCCTTATCATCAGATCAGAAAAAAAGATCTTCGTGGTAAGATGGGAAATACGTATAGTGATGGAGTAGAGATCAAAACTTGAAATTCTGAATATTATAAAACCTGAAATTTCTATCATTTAGCAGAGGAAGAGAGATAAGGACAATACAGTGAGATTTATTATGGGGGACAGTACTGATCATATGATTTCAGCATCTTGCAATGAGACCATTAATTTTCGGCTCCAAGAAATTGTCGATTACCGCTTGCTCTAGTTCGGCAAGTTGTTTCTGTACATCAGCTAGGTCTCTGAAATTATGTGCAAAGACTATTCCTTTTAACAAAATTTTTAAAAGGACTATAAAATAACTAGTTTTATTAATAAGGTGAAGAGATACGTTAACAGAAGCTATCAATAATGTAGTCCGAGTAAGTACATCATGAAATCTCCATCTTCATATTTTTAGGCTTATCTTCCTCTCTTATCCTTAACTTTGTTGGCTCACAATCGAAGCAAAAGAAGACATTTAAAGATGTACTTATTCGAGTAATGTCCGATAATGTGAATGTAATCATCGGATGGAGTATTGAGTGGTAGAATCTATTAAAAAAGAAAATACTTCGTTTTGCCTGGCGACGATTTGAATTCAATGTAATATTTGATTTTTGGTTCAGTTCCACTTGCCCGTATTGTTGTCCAACTACCGTCCGATAATGTGAATGTAATCATTTCGGATGAAGTACTGACTGGTAGAATCTGTTAAAAAAGTTTCAAAACAATTCTTTCTTTTCCTTCCACAACCAGTTATTGTGGCAGTCGAGAGCTTAAAACCATCTTATTTTAAAGGAATATTTTGATCGTAAGAAAATTCCGAATCAGGTCACTGTATATTCAAATCACATTTCCAACAAATTGTGAACAAAGTGGTGGAAATCTCCACTGTAAGTATACAACACCAATTAAAGCTTGATAGCTGTTGATGTTGTAAAGATGCAGATTCAATCTTCAACTGCCTCCAAGAAGTAAATAATAAATGGTCAAACTGTTATAGTTCTCCCGTAACTCCTCGATTTGTGATTATTGCAATATAGCGAATTCGAATTATTGCTTTTTCCATGACTCTATTTTTTACCAAGTATAAAAATCCAGTTTTTTTTTTTTTAATTTACTGTTTGGCTTTTTCTTTTATTTATTTCCCTTTTGAAATCTAATCTATATCACACAATATGCAATATGCGAACATAAATTCAGGTATTTGTTATAATCATCGTGATCTCTTCCCATTGAAATGACGAATTTTTATTTATGATTATCATTGCATACAATAATCAATATGGGACGAAGAAGAGGAATAAAATAAGATGTTCACAATGTATCTGTTAATACCCGAAAATAATAAGTGAACTTAAGAAATAAGTGGTAAAACTTACCGGTTTATTTCCAGGTTGTTCATTATCATATCCAATCGTCAGATCGCGCACATATTTAATGTTGAATTTCCCGATTTTTTGCGGGTACTGAAATTTCAAAGATGCATTCAGTTCTGTTCTTTTCGCTAGGTAAGCTACCGTTATGTATAGAACATTTCTTGATATTAAGTGCAACTGTTGACAACTGGTTTCTTGAAAGAAGCATACGGCACTAAACACCAGACTATTTTATTTTATCTCGTTCATCTTCTCGTTTAGTTTTTGATAAAAATACAGCCTAAAAAATGACAGCCATTTCGTAGGCCATCAGGAGATTGATTTTTTAACTAGGAATGTAAATTGTACTTCCGCTGAAACAGTATTTTAAAAATAAATAATACCTTACTATCCTTACGCATTTTTGTAAAAATATTCTTCATTGTTGTTTGATTGGGTACAAACCAATACGAGCTACTAATTAGATGGAAACCATACCTACAAGAATGGGTATTTCACTTTCCGAAATAAATAGGAAAATTGAAAAAAATATTCGAGTTTTACTGATATATATTATTGGAAATGCTTTCTTTCAGAAAAAGTCGCAATTTCGTGATAAGTATCCAGAAATCTTGTTGATATTTATAACAATTCCACAAGACATCATTTTTTTGTCTTAAGTGGATTAATTTTTAAAAGAATTTAAATCTATATTTAAACTCACTCGCTATAAATGTTGATAAGTTGTTGAGCAAGAGTTAATTGCTTGGAATATAAATAAGATGTCAATTCAGCGAATGCTGCCGCTGCAGTAATACCATCTTTATCAAGAGTATGTCCTAGCATAAAACCAATTGATTCTTCCCATGCGAATAACACAGTTTTCCCGAGACGGCGAAGCTCATCCGATTTATTTCCCAGCCATTTGAATCCAGTTAAGCCTAACTCACTTTTGAAACCTAAAATTAGTTTGAACTTCCTTTCTTATTTTTCAGTTGTTTCATATTCGATTATTATAGCCACGCACTCCAAGATAGGTTGGATATTTTCTTCTATCAATAGATAAGGTAGTGTAAAGACATTTTGGGAGAGAAGAATCATATGTTATCTTTGTATCTGTCGATCTTACATATTTTTGTATTTTTTTAGGATACCCATGCTAACTCTTAAAGAAGCTCCGAATGTCAATTTAAATCTTAATTTGAATTTAGAGCTCAACTTCTTAAATATTTGAAATTTTCATTATTGAAATTTTCATTAATTTTCATTATTTTTCTTCCTGTATAAATATTCATCTCTAAAACTAAAAACTCGATATCTGAAATACATCACCATTACCTTCTTTGGTAGCAATAGTGCGACTTATTGAAGATGAAACAACACTACTGATGATGTACAAATTTGATGGATCTTTTTTCGGATTTTGCTCCCTCCAGCAATGCCAAATCCACCATGACATCAGAGCACCCATTTCATTCCCCGTGAAAATCTTCCATTCACCTCTGAAATTTAACGAAATAAAAATTGATTTCAATCTGTTAGCCTTCCCAATGTAAGATGTTTGTCAATGACAAAATCATCCGCACTATTTAGTCGCTCAGTCTACAAAGGATCTGTTTTAATCAGACACATAATCTAAATTTCCAAGGATTAAATGGCTGACTGATGAGTGGAACTGTTTGGTCTCTCATTCCCTTCCGATAATAATCCAGCTGTGTACCAGTCACCCTACTACAGTCACTTCCGCATCGCAAGATAATCGAATTGAAGTGAACTGAATAGAGGTTAAGGGAAACAGTTGTTGTTTGACAAATTCATTACTCGGGTTGTTTTTCCGCTAACTGGAAACGATCAGCATCCGGGTCGTTGGCTAGAATTATGCTAGAGTTGTGTTTATTAGCTGTTGCTATAGGTATTGCGAACACTTTCTGACCTTCTTCTGGATTTGGAAATGGCAGTGTTGGAAAATCGGGATTTGGTTCCGCATGCTCCTGAAAGAAATTCCTTTGTCAGCATTAACAATGGAAAAAGCATTAATTAAAGGGTATAATTATTTAGCATAAAGGATATAAGTATTCCATACCTGCACAATAATTATGTTTTCAAATGGAAATCCGAAATCTTTCAACATTCTTGTCATATATGGTAATCCAACACCATGAAATGCGGTATAAGTGAATTTCACTGGACATTTTTCGTTCAGAGACCTATTTTAAAATAATATACTATAACTTTGAATGTGCAACTTGTTTTCCAAATAAGAATGTACCATTAAAACGTATAATTTTGTGGCACCACGTACATAATTTTTAATTCTCAGATTACATTATCATCAATTCAAAGTTGTTTAGCACAAGAAATTCGTTTTTCTCTATAAAAATTTCATTAACAATATTACCATTCATCTATAATTTTGATTTCAACTTAATTTTTACATTCTTCCTTCCGATTTATCGCAACCTACTATGCTGTCATACTAATCGATAAGACAACAATTACGATAAGCTAAAAACGACTTTTTCATCAGTACACTTATAATTAAAAAGGTATTTCTGGTTTTCAAGTCATACTATTTTGCCTCATTAAACAACTTTTCAGTAGTGATGAAATCATATTTTGTTGGAAAATGAAATCCAAATGAAACATATAAAATAACATTATACTGTAGTAATACTCTGACGAATGAGACTGATAGGATACACTCCTCACTCATTTTTACAATAAATAAGGAGAACGAATAAAATTAAAAATTAAAACCACTAAAATATGTTGACAAATTATTAGCTTACATCTTCTTAGCCAACGATTAATAGACCTTCAAAACTTTTATGGGCTTTACATATATTGACATGTATTGAAATCTAAATATTAAGTTAGGCGTTTAGACAGTCTCTCTATTATACGCTTTCTTTTATCCAGGAATCTAATTTATCCAACAAAATCAGTTAATCTATATTGATTTTCTCCAGCATTTTAGATGAACTTCAGCTTTGCTTTTGATCTTTCACAATTTATTTTACTAGAATAGCTGTCTGATATGTAACTTACTTATAACGACACAGAAACAATTCTTCGGTGAAGTATTTTTCTATTATGGGATCAGCTGAATGTAGCAGTGAATTTACTGAAAGTTTTGATATATTCCAATATTCCGATTTTAGTTCCATATTTTCATAAGCAAGTCGACATATTTCCGAATCATGAGGTGCCAATATCTGTACATCAAACATGTGTTTCATATAAACGAGAATTTAGTCTCAAATAATGTGTCCCAAATTTATGACTTCAACTTTCCTAAGGATGCTTCTTCAGCTGAATTCCTTGCTACTCACTAAAAGCACAAAAACCGGCCAGTGTGTTAAAATCATTTCTTTTCCATACAACATGCAACATTATTCATGATATACGTACGACAAATTGAAATATAAAATTAGACTCAACCCTACGAACTAAATCACTCTGTGTTAAATTCCAATTTTCAAAAAACAATTTTTTTATATCCCAAAATATTCTTATTTCACTAAGTAATCGTTTATTTCTTTTCGTAAAAATCAAATTTACCTGCGCTCCATTTGTCCAATAAGCTTTGTAACCATTATCGTGTTTTGGATTATGAGAAGCTGTTATCATCAAACCAGCATCACATTTGAATCGCATTGTTGCGTAAGACTGTAATTTTCGTCAAATCAAAACTATTTGTCCTTCTATTACTAATTCCGGAATTCATCATTAAGAAAATATTTAACCAGCCCACTTCGAAATGATTAGATTTTTTAGGAAGACTTATCATTGCAACGCAGCTACAGAATGTACAAAAAAAGTCGCTTACCACAAGAGGTGTTGGGCAACATTTTGAGAAGAGATACACTTTGATTCCATTATGAACAAATACATTCGCAGCTAATTTAGCCCATCTAAAAGTTATAAATTGATTGTTGAAAGGTCAAGACAACGTCCTTTGGTTAATAAAGAAGAGGCGATCCAAATCATGAAAACGCAGTCATCTAAAGGAATTTACAAATGATCTTAAACGTCCCAAAATTATAAGTTCCTTTTGTAGGATAAATGAGGGAAAACACCGCTTTTTTTATTATTTAAAGGGAGAAAAGGAAACATGAAGAGGTGGACAGCTGAGGTGACAAGGTAACTAAGAACCGTTCGCTGTTATAACGACTATCATAACCAATGACGACACCATTGCTTTGACGATTATACACATGTTTTAAATGTATGGCAAAACCATTGGTTAGCATCAGTATTGTAAAATCATTTAACCGACAGAAACCAGCTTCCATTTTTGTTCGCACACCTGAAAAAGTTTTGTTAGCAAAATGATGAATAAATGAACAATTTAAAATTTGATTTTATTTAAATTCAATTTTCTAGTATAGAAATTATGTGGATTTAAATAGGCAGTATAGTATTGATATATTTACTGCTTACAGAAAATAATGTTCTATAGCTGAGAGATTAATTACGCTATGATGAAGCAACATAACGAACTTAATATATTAAAGCATAAACAATCTCACTTCTTTCTACTTCAGTATTTCTATACTTAAGCATTTGGGAAAATTTCAAAAACCGAATTATAAGATAATAAAAAATTAAGATGAAATGATTTTTATAATAATGGATCCATCAACTTAGTCGCAAACTTCATTTTTAAGTGGTAATTGCTGTCATTTCAGCTGAATGTTCTATTCATAGGTTTGGTAACAAAAAAAAGAAAAACTCCTCAGTGCATTGGAATATAAACTAAAGTTTATCGAAAGTGAAAGATCAATATCTTAAAATATATTATTGAGAATTAAAACTAATTTTAAATAGGAAATACATGTCATGCATGAAGTTGACCCAGAACAAAACATACCAGCTGTGCCAAATGACAGCTTACCACACATTCTTGATTTCAACTCTCCAACATCTTTCTTCTTCCACAATTCCTCAATTTCTGCACGACTTTGTTCATTCTGCAATAGATTTGATGAAATAGCTTTGAGTTTTAATTAGTAATATTTCAAATAACTATAACCTGTATCGTAGTAGTAAGACCAATAAATAGAAAATAATTATATAATCTTTGTACTTCCTGTAAACAATAAGAGAAATCATTATAAATTTCAGCAGTAAATCTTGTTCTTATTAAAAGGAATTCATTTCCAGCTTACGTATGTTATCAGTGAAATAAGCAAAGATTTATTATACGCTATAGCATGAAAATATAAAATCAAATCAATTAAAAAATGGAAGTGAAGTCATACATTGTCCCATTTCAACCAATTTGTAGTAAGCGTTTCGTAATCTTTCATTCTTATCAATACCAATGTCTAGATAACCAGAGTCGTTCCTACATAGAATGTTGAAATATTTAGTCCGTTCATTTATTTTATTATCTCTCTCATTCCTCTCATAAGAGGATTTGAATATGTGCAACAAATGGCTTGCGAATAAAAAGGTCGGAAATGATATAAAAGAATGGAAGAAATGAGAAGTATTTTATTATGGAACTAACTAGTGAGAATGATAGTTGTAGAGGTGAGTGAAGGAAATGATGGATAAGAAAAGTAGAACAAATGGCAAGGGAGAGTAATTCAAAAATGGATGTGCAGTGGCATCATCGGTTTACAGAATCAAGCATATAAATTATGTCGACGAATTGGCAATGATTACAACATGGTAGGCAACTAAACCAAGTTGTTCAAATTCACCGGGAACAACGACGATGCACGCGGAAGATTTGCCATCAATACGAGTTCATGACATGCTATGACATTGAAAATTTTCCTCCAAAATAAATTGAACAAAAGTATGTCATGCCATGCAATTATTTAGAAAGAGAAAACCAAAACTTTCATTCTCATTACAAACAACATTCATACATGCAATAATATTTTACAGTAGAAATAAGACGCAATTATGTATCGATGTTGCAATCAGATATGAGAGGTATACTGAGTCATATATATATCTTCTTCGCCTGTTAATGCAGTAAATAGCGTGATAATAAAAACATTTTATCGATCGCAGTGGAAGGATGTCTTACAAAATGAATAAGGATTACTTCCTAATATGAGCCTATAGGCTAGCAAAAATTAATTAATTGAGCGGTTTTGGTTGTAAGAAGAATGTCCTCACCTTTTAATCAAAACAGAACAAATTAAAAAAGAGAATTTTAATTTTCAAATACAACAAGACTTGTGCCAAATGGCCTCTTCCACATAACAGCTGTTTCCCATCCTCCTCCTCTGTTTTCCTCTCTTTTTTTTTTTGAACTTTATATTTAACAGTGCGCATACTGTTTCATTTAAAAAAATAAATGAATAATTACAAATAATCTGTAATTTTCATGGAGCTATTCGACCAAATCGAAAATTCACAAAAATAAACGTATTCACTGCAAACAACGCAACATATATATTCAATAATATACATGATTTTCTCTGGTAAGTGAACTTATTGATGTTGTAGCTTTCGGATCATCATCAGATGGTTTATAGTCCTCTGCCGATTTAACTGTTGCGACAAGACTCCATTTTTTCAATAAATTTTCTAAAAAATAGTCTAAACTTTTCCCCAATTATTTCAGTTCATTTATGGCGTACAAAAGAATTGTGACGAGAAATATATATCAAAAACCACTCTACTTACCTTTCCATAGCCGTATGTATCCGTCTGAGTTTCCAGTCGTTAAGATTGTCCCAGTTATGTTCCATGACAAGCGCCAAACCTATCAAAGTTTCTGATTTCAACTACCAGGCAAATATCTACAGTGAGCTGATACAGATTTGTGGCCATATGATAATGATAATGTCGTCAACATTAAAAAATATTGTATTAAATCAGTGGACGATACTGTTAGTTTAATGGTATGAATAAAGAAAGATATGAGATAAACCGCCAAAACAATCTTCTCTAACTTTTAGCTATCAAGAGCATTAGGGTATAAGTTTCCTCATTTTCAACATAATGCCATTGTGCATTCAAATACTGGTGAAGAACATAAAGAAATTAAAAGTAACAGCAGAGAACCTGAACAGGTGAATGGGACGGATTTTCAAGTACTTCCAACTGTGTTATGTCATATTCAGTTAGTCCACCTCGTTCAATCGAATCAGTATTAAAGCCTGTTGTTTTTCCGATCTCAATCAACTTGAAGATGCAAATGTCTTTAGAGCCAACAGCGAGCAAATGATATGATCGTCCGGCAGGTGGTGCAAAAGCAATATCTGTCACCGGCTCAGTTACTTTTAAGGTTGGAGTATTCAACAGTCGCCACTTTCTAAAAATGCATCTGATCTTTTTTTACAAACCTCACAATGAGTATCTTGTTTAAAACGAGAATTTTTTGTTTAAAACAAAAACAAGAGTTCCTAATAAAAAATCAATACTGTTATAATAAATAATTAATAAGAAAGACCGAAGATTGTCATGATACTCATATACAACCACTCGTTTCCCAGTTGTATGTGCATCATCCGATCCCACAGCAATAAGCGGTTTTGTAAGACGATGTGTACTCCACGAGAGGCAACTACAACGGTATCGAAAAACAATGATATCCTGATTCAGACTCCACATCGATAAATTCATAATGTCTGGAGCTTCATATACTCGTAATATTCCCTGGGAAGACACAGTTGCCTACAACTAAATCCACTTAAACAATGCTTTTCATTAAGACGAAGAATGACTATATTTACGCCTAACAATATTCATATTTCAGTGAAATATGAAGAAATTTGATTACTGAAACGTAAAGGTTTAAAAAACCACTAGCGAATAAAATGAAGTGCATTAAAACACTCAATAATGTTGCTTACAAGCATTAATCCAAGATGCCTCGGAGCAAACTTGATATCAGTAACGTTATGACGACTGTCAACAAGTTGACAACAACGTCTCCAACGTGCTTCGTCTTGCTTCTGGCCACTCTGTAGACCATTTCTCGTTATTGTCTTAATCGGTTGACGCACTGCAATATAATGTATCCTTAAATTTCAAACAAATATGAACTTGAAGTTAGAAAAATATATTTTACGGAATGTAATCATTTATTTCGAACTGCGCGGGAAGTAAATCATTTTTACGGATAAAAACATTACGGGCTTTACCCGTAATGTTTTTATCCGTAAAAAAAATATAAATAAATTTTAAGCATAATGATTTAGAGAACCCATTTCCTCCCATATCGTTACACTTCGATCAAACGAACACGTAGCCAAAATTTGTCCAAATTCAGGATGAGCCCAAATTACTTTCCAAACAGGTCCACCATGACCCTGTAATAGAAGAGTGTAAAAATCATTTTTGATTTATGAGTACGATTAGAATACTGTCCCTATATAATAAAATACAAGCCAATTTGTTTTGATAATGTTGTACAGAACTGAAAACATCAAACATGAGTAAAGCATAATATTTTATATTTTGCCATTATTATTAAATAGAAAGCACCAGTGAGATGATCAATCAAAGGAAGTTAGAGCTAATCGTAAGCACCTTCCATGAAGCTGATTTGACCCAGCTACCATTTGGTGACAAATTCCATACACACACCATCATATCACTGGAAGATGTAGCAATCCGTCGTCCATGAAAATCGAATGCAACATGGTGAATGAGATCACGCTGTTGATCGTTGAATATTATTGATGTTGAGAATTGCTCCGATGAAGATGCCATTTGTTTACAATCTCAAATGAAATTACGGAAGAAATTTCACTTCATGTCTCGAAAAATCACAACCGTTATAAATACTCAAAGAGGAAAGGAAAAATTGTGAACGAAAATTTTTTTCTAGAAATGAATACATCAAAAAAAAAAAGAACTAACCTGGAATTAATGTTTATTTACAAAAGTTACAGTTGATATGCAATTTCCAGATGTGCGTGAAACTGAAAAACTTATATACATCAGTTAACATACAAGTCTAACTTCATGCCATCTAAAGATCAAATAACGGTAAGGAGATCATCCAAAACATTGCGCTTGAATTTAATCCGAATTTTTCTTTTGCGCCGATTAATACTTTGCGGCTGAGACTGACTCAAGCAGGTCAAACGAGTGAAATGAACCACTGAGAAGTGCCTAATGGCTAAGTCCAAATATTTGGGAGTTATTTAAAAAATCAGAAATTGGCTTTACAAAAAATTGACCCCCCTCAACCTTACACACTAACATACGGACATATCGCTTAGGTGACACCGATTAGCGATGAAATAATTGAGAGAAGGAAGAAATGATAAAACGGAGTGACGGAGAATTCTCCGAAAAAAACAAAAGTTATAGATGAAAAAGTAAAGGCGAAAATCAAATACCAATTCCGTTTTTCGTTCTTCTTTGTTAAAATTTAACTAACTGTTGAAATGCTCAGTAATACTGAACTTTGCTTCCTAACCTCTTCCATTTTTGATATAACCGAGGAACAATTTTGAACAATAATCTATTGTTACCATGGAAATGTCCAAGCATCTGTACGTTATTAATGGATATCTTTGATACAGAAATTACACTCGTTAGTATTGTTCTGCTTATATCTGCTGCTTACTTCATCCTTATTATTATTATTTTCTGCTTTTGCATTCGATTTCAGGTTGGTTCATTTCTCCGTAAAAAATATGTCAAACAGTGCAAAACCTTTACAGTATTTCCACATATCTGTTGTAAACATAATTCCTATTTCAGCCACACAGGTTTATTCAGTCCCATAAGGTATGCGGGTTGGAAGAGGAAACATCGCATGCAATGGCATCTTATTTGGATTGTTCCTGCATCACAAAGTGTTGTCCATGCCCAGCTTTTAGTTTCCGACAATTCTTGAAATCTTACTGTTTCGACTCGGTAGGCTAATTTTTTTTGGTTCATACATTTGAAATTTTTCTGAAACGACGAAATTCTCAACTGTTTTTTATTCTTAACTTCCTACAGCTTTTTGAAACTTTTATTTTATAAAAATTTGTCCGTCATATTTCAATATCTCGCTATACATCGCATTTCGTGTTACAGCTTAGAACAAGTGTTAAAATTATGTCAAACTATATACGTAAATAATCTGCATGCGTGCATTGCAGGAAAAACTGCGACGTAATGTGAATTGCGAATGCATACGGCCAGCCATACATGGTTCGCACAGTTCGGAAGGTTTAAATTTCATCTGCTGTCAAGTTGCTGGTAGCAGTTAACGACAAACAAGCATCAACACCATCTTTCGCTATCTTTTCCTGCATAAATATACCCTTCATTTTATTATCACACTATTTCTTATATTATCTCAACACAATACAACGCCTTAAAATCCAACTTTTAGACAACAAGCAAAATGTACGTAATTCACAACCAGAGTGCAAAATATTGTGATGATTATGCTGGTCACTGCAAAATCCTTCAATCCATGTACGTTCTCGACGTACATTAACTTGGAACGCTTTGATTCATTGTTTCAACCTAAGAGAAAGTTGAAGTTTACACTTGAGTAGACCAGAAAGTGCTTATGTTGTATCATATCCGTAAGTACGTGACAATGAAAAAGCACAAGTACTTTTTATCTCGATAATGTACACAATATGACGCAAAGAACAAAGAAGATGACATTGCATTATTTGATTAATATCATAGACAGCAACGAACATGAGCATTGAAGGTAAGGAAAAAATTCAACTGGAACGATCAGTTATGACATTAAAGAAATCACAGATCCTAAAATGCCGACCTACCCTTTCATCACAATGAATCGTTTTTTAGCAGAAATATTTCGTACGTTTGATTTGTTCTTCCAGGATAAAATTAATTAAATTCCTCGTTTTTGGATCACTTGGTTCAAACCACCAGCATACTTCATGCTGAACACCCCAACGATAACCATTCATTTAACAATTTGTTAGCTATTTTTATATGGAATAGCTAGCTAACCGATATAAGCCAGCAAAAAATTCACAGAGAGAGATGAACAGACATGTGCATCAGTTAGCGAAATAAAACATCAGATTTATGGGCAACATTAATTCTCTCCTATTGAAAAAATAATTCCACAAAAAAAGCGAACAGTAAGGAACACGGAAAAATCTTCACTTTCATATATAAAAAGGCACAAAACATGAATTAAATGAAAAAAAATCATATTTTTCCGTAAAAAAGGAAATTTCCGAAATTGAAACAAAAATTGTAGCTCACAAAACCCATAAATCGAAAAACGTTCAGAAAATTGATTTCATTCGCAATAGCGACAATCCATCTGAGATTATATGGCAAAATCTTCCCAAAGAAGTACATAAGCTAATTAATAATTTACGTTTTATCAAAGGCATTAATTAATGTTAATGTTTAATTTTAGTGCTAATTTTTCTTTCTCCTTGTCTGATATAATAACTCTAATATGTAGAATATATCAGGCAACATTATGTTTGTTTAAAGCATTCCATATTTAAAAAAATTGCAGTATGACCGCTTCTACTTCAGCTGGCAAGAATTATTTCTGAGGAAAATACAAATCCATATGCACAGAATTTTATCCTCCTCTTTTAAAAATACTTCATTCAAACCACTGTTCAGACGCTGTCCATGCACGCACACATTTTTTGTAGGAAAGTCTTTTCTCGCTATTTAAACCCATTTTGACTCCAAACCGCTTAAGACCCTTTTGAATCGAATATATAATCATTGTAGCAGATTCCCCAAAGATGTTTTTTAAAAAATGAATGACTGTAGACAACACACCAAATAAGGAGAAAAAAAGGGCGGAAAAGATGAAGACAAAACAAAATATAAGAAAGAAATCAAGAAAAATTAAATCTTAATAAAACTTCCCTCCTCTTATGGCATTGATATCCCGAACCGTTCCAAATAATTATCGTTATACGTACATCATAAATCACTGAAGCGATTTAAAGCCTTGCGTTAGCAGACAGAAATAAGAAATGGAAATAGCCAACAATAGCTCATGTTTCAAGATAAAATTCAATCCAAAAAATATATCAAGACTATTTGTGGTATAGGCTTCTCACTCCATTCGAGTTATACCTGCTTTCCAAATTCAATTCACTTTTTTCCTGAAAAACTTCGAAAGTTAATAGGAAATATAATTTTTCTGCGTAATTAAATTCACGCAAGTTGAATGATTTAAAACCTGAAAAATTCATGCACAAACTCGATATGCTGTTCTAGAAAATTATCGCCACCTTAAAAAAAGCACTGGAGATAATAGTTTCTAAATGTTATTCAAATCTAGAAGAAGAAAATGGCCGCACAGCACGATGACAAAAAAAGAGAATAAAAGCAAAGCTTGAAAAAAAAGGAAACTCAGTAAATCAGAGCAGGCAAAATCTACAACATTAAGCCCTAGATAAATGGCAGTCTTTCCAATAACAACGCAGTTTGTACTTTGAATTCGAACTTGACTTCTTGAGAACAAATTCTGATGGAATTGCAGCCCAAAATTCAAAATTTTGAAGGAGAAATTAGGAAAACCACAGCACTTCTAAGAAATGTAAAGTAGCTAGGAGAAAAAGAACAGATAAAGATATTTGATCAATTTTTGAAAATAAAGAAGTAGCATCTTCAGAATTCAAATAACTAAAACACTGTAAAACTCAAATAAAACGCATAAAAAAATTTGATTAAAACTCTCCGAAAATGCAAAATAATCGTAAAGTGATACAAACTTAAAGATATTGCGCAATTTCAGTGCCTAATGCTGTCATCTTATCAACAATTCCAAATAGTGAATGATGAATAACAAATTATACTATATATTAAATATACTAAACTATGCTGCTACTGCATACTTCACTTCATAATTCGTTATGGAACATATACCAGGAAGTTAGGAATTATTTTCCATATCCATTTTGAAAGTAATCAAATCAAAAAGTCCCATCTTTCTCTCATCCCTATTGAAAGCTGACATCAAAAACATGTAACTCCAGTGACAACAATGTTATCTTAAAGCCCGAAAAAAGAAAAAGATGCAAGCCATGCAAAATAAACCTAGCACTGAAAAGGCTCAGCTGAGATAGTGAAGCCCTGTTGGCTGTTTAACTCTTTCCACATAATTTGCTGGTAACATTCCCCATTGCAGTGTTCTCTGCACAGTGCCCGTTAACCATCCTTCATCAACTTTTTGACAATTTACAATGGTATCGCCCTCAACGAATGTCACCTGAAATTAAAAAAATTCATTTTCGAATACTATAACTGACAAACGAATCACTTCTAGCACAAACAACAGTATAAATTTGGAATAAAATAAATCTAACAGTCATTTATTCTGGAATCATTTCCGGAGCTCAAAATGGCTACTTACACTATACAGACTAATAGCTTGCTTGTCCGAGCTCCGCTGGCCAATTTTACCCCGTTTTAAATTTTTCCAGTATGTTACAAATCTCATTATCCTTCTGCAACACTAATGGTTACAAAGACAATATCCTTGGTGTCTATATTCCTTATGGAAATAAATGCGTTATAACTTTAAAAACAAAATTACCAACTTCATCTTTATCAGCAGCGGTGTAATCATAGAGTGCTTTCACTGTAAAGCCCGCTCGTTCCGTACCTGGTCGGCCAATTCCTTTTGTATTCGAACCAGTTGCTCCCGCATTTGAAGCTGCCAACTGACCTGAAATTACGAGTTTTATACAACTCAAATAAACCTTTCCGAAGCCTTTCATTTACGAAGTTTTGCAGGAGCTCAAAGTTACATGTTGCGCACAACTTTAACATATTAGAAAGAAACGCAAAACCATATCTATCCCTACTTATCATTGAGAGCCTTTTACTTATTATTACTCATTACATTAGATCGATTCTAAATTTTGATTGCTTAAGCTAATTGGCACTCTCACAATGGAACAAATGTCATAGGAGAGAGGTGGAAGTTCTCTGTTCTTCATAACTGATTTTGAACAGTATTTGTATTTTGCATAACTTACCCTTTTAAAAATTTGGAAAATGCACTCTCAAATCATTTGAACTCAAACATAAAAAATTCAGTGAAAACAATATGCGACACATTAATGTTCAATGAATAGCGTGAGTGTAAGCATATGCATACTTTTCGATTGCTCTCGATTTCCTATCATTCTGAATGTTATTATATTGATTAGTTCTGAATGCAGGACTGATCGATATAATAACATCTGCTAATAATCTCTTTAATAGAAGTGTTGCAAATAAAACAATTTATAGTGTGAAAAATAAGAATAAAGAAGTAGGGAAATGAATAAAAATCAAACATAGGGAAAACGCATTTATTGGAAATAGAAATGATCGTACCAATTTTTTCAGCTGTTCGACTCGATCCTACTGTCCCCCAGTTCCCATTTAAGGGATCATAGTCAGCTATACTACCAACTTGACGTTGTTGGATAAGCACTGTAATAATTAAATATGTTTAGAGTGCAGTAGCGGGCAATCAAATTGGCTCTCTTTTTGCTTATTATTCATTCCACGTCCGCATATTTCCTCTCATTCCATAGCAAAAAAAGTTAAAATTAAAAAAATTTTCGAGACATTCAATTTTCCCCGAATAACTTACAGTAAAATAAAAGTTATTGTTCAAAATCTTTGCCTAAAAATTTATCCTTTTAACTCAATCTACTCCTAAATGGCGTTTGAATACGTGAAAAAAAAAAGAGCGTAAAAAAAAGAATTTTTTTCGATATTGAAATACCCAGTAAAAGAAAATTTTAAAAATCATCTTATATATAATTTGAAATTATTTTTATAACAGAACGCAGTATTAGTTAAAGAAATTATTTTTGTTAAGCAATCCTTACAAGAAAAAACTTGGCCATTCACATACAAACAATAATCTGATAAAAAAGTTCTCAAAAACTTCAAATGAGCAGGCAGCAAATATCATTGCACTCAACCTTTTGTGTTATACTTGTGGTCTTATATTTGCTGTCACATTAATGTTTAATCTTATTTTGAAACTTAAACAATTACTCCAAGATGTAATCAAAAGAAAATTTAGACAAAACCCACATCTTTTGTATTCATTAAAAAGCCAAACGAACGAATAAAATGGTGAAAAGCTGAACAGCTCAGAAATACCCTCCCCAAACCCACTCAAATTCGTATTTCCAAAAATCCATATACCTTTCGAATGAATTTTCCTAAAATGCACACATATAATTATATACCGATATTAATATATAGATACCTTTGCCACCTTGTTCGGATG